TGATGTGTAATTCTTGGAAACAGCGTCCACACTGGGGTGATGTGTATTAGCGCCGAATGATGTGAGATAAACCCGACGCCTGTACTTGCAGTATTTGTGGCGGATGCCGGCATTATCATTATTGTTCAAACCGAATTCATTCCTGGCCCCTTGTTCCGCAACTGCTGAAAATTTTTCCGGGTCTTTCCTAGGGGCCATGTTTTCGCAATTTTCTGGGGGTTGCACACTTGCTTCCAAGATCCAGCCTCGGTGTGATGGGCGTGGGTTGTGGCAACCAGGTGCTTCTTCCAAGACCGACGTTCGGCATGCGCCTCTGCGGGTTTCCGGCAGCTTTGCTTTTTTATCCGATCGAGAACCCAGCCACAACTCAAACAACCCAAGATCCCGGAACACCATCAAGGACAGGACAGGATCTGTGTGACGTGCAGCTCTCGAGGGGCCATACTGCCGCCCGTGGAACAGTAAAGCACGTGACCAAGGCCGAGATAGCCACTACATGCAGTACGGCGCGCGGCGCGCTTCCTCCATTGAGCGGATGCATAGGTCAACAGCGCCGGAAATGCGACTTGTGTGGCCCGTTGTTTCATGGGCCTGTCATGGGAACGTGAGTTTCAGGAACAAGCATTTTGAAAAAACAACAACCACCCACATGGGCATGCAACCGTGTCACATGGGTAAACCAGAACCGCAACGACTGTCCCAGCTGAGGCCTGTCAGAAACAGTGTCACTGGCGCTGAGTATACGAAGTATGAATACTCCCGTACTCGTCTGCTGCTTCGAGTGCCTCTGCACGACGGTGGCGGGGCATGTCAGTGCCGCAGGGCAGGAACCTCGAGCACGTCCTCGCGTTTGCCGAGCCGGGCAGGCCGAGTCGCCTCCCGCTCCGCTGAGCACTTTGTTGACGGCGCTGTCCCTAATACCCTTCACGCTTGTGCGAAAAGGTCCGGGAAAAGAAAAGAGGGAAAAGCGTGCGCTTCGTCGCTGTCCAGCAGGATTGGCAAGCCGTTGGTCACGCAGCGTTGGGGCGCGCCCGGGCCATGCCAGCCCGGCACATGCTGCCGCACCGGCCGTGGATGAAGTCCTAAACCTGGTGGATCCGGAGGGGCCGATGGCAGTGAGCTTTGCGGCATGTGGAGCACGAGGCAGAGGTCTGTCCAGCCACATGTGCTCGTACCATCCGTTGAAAGCCATGGCAAATGCCGTAGCGGACCGCATCAGGCCTCCCCGCTTTCGCACGAAGGCTTGCCACCGCTGGAGTGGCATACTTCCCGTTGCCGCACAGCAACGCCTTCGCTGCCTCACTCATTGAGCCCCCTGCGGCCGCAGCTCGGTGCTGCGGGCGGTCATCTCCTCACCGAAGCACGATGGCTGCAGGATGTTGCAGGCGCTCGTTAATAGCCGCCTGTTGCTTGAACCCGCCCATGTAGACCGCGTTTATCTTAGGCAGGTGTCCGGCAACAATTCCCGCGACCATGTGTCATGGAAGGTGCAAGCGAAGTGGGGGGCCGAAACCTGGGGGAGAGCTCGCCGAAACATGGATGTTGCAAATCCTGTCGCGGAGACATCGACCCGGCATGATGAGGGAGGACAAGATTTTGCCTTGCATTGCTGTCCACTGCCAAAGATGCCATAGATTGCCCTGATGCCTATGGCTACTGCCATGGCTTTCGCTGTTTGTCGTTGCTGTTGTTGCTAATGCAATGCTGTTGCCGTTGCAGTCATGGACATTTCCATGGTGATGGCCGTTGCTTGCTGTGGCTGGGCCAGGCCGTTGCTGCTTGAACCCAGCTGGGTCCGGGGCCTAAGACATGCAGCGGTTGCTACAAACTAGTTTGCGTGGATGAACTCATCCTGGAATAAGTAGACAGAACATAGTAACATAGTCGTGGATTTGCCGAGGATGAAGCAGGTGGCGTTTTGCTTGTGAGGACATTTGCATACGCTTGGCGCGTGGACAAGCCCTTGAGCCACAACAGCTCGAGGAGCTACACATCTGGCATGGAGTTGATTGTCCAGACGCAAAGGTTCCAAGCTTGGGTTACATTCCATGGAGGACAGCATCATCTTTATGAGTCGTTTGGAAAGTGATGCCATGTAGCGTGCTGGAAGGTATTTGGAACGAGGCCGAATGGTCATGGAAATATCAACGCCGGTGGGCACCACGGCAGCTCCCTCAGATTGCTTTCGTTGAGGTCAAAACAAGCTGGCAGCATGGCCATTCGGTTATTGGGCTCAAGGCAGGAAAGGTAGCACCAGAGCTCAACGAGGCTTGCATGGCCGCAGCGTGCCTCTGCGGCACTGGCGTGTCTGGCCTACCAAGCTGGTTGTTGGATTTGCTTATGCCGCTTTCGCCGGCATCGGTGTGCCGCAAGTTGAACCTATGTTACTGAGTCTGTTACTGTTGATGTGGTGTTGTGTTTGACACCAACCACGCTGCAGCCAACGCAAACGCACCAAGGCTTGCAGGCCAACGGCCCCAACGAGAACATGCCCCAATTTTCCGATCTGTCACAAGGGACGATAGCACCCTGTCTGTGTAAATCGTTTCTCCCTCTCACATCGTGAGAGGTTGCGCTCCCCTGCCGACGGCGCGGACATGGAAAGACATGCTAGGGCAGGCCAAGTGGAGGTGCGCGTTTGGCTTGGTAGATGTGACTTCGTTGACATCGCACTTCCCTTGTCAGGTTCGCTTGCGCGCAAGTTTTAAACTCGACATTGTGTTGAATCTTGGCGGCAGCAGACACGCCAACGATTTCATGATTTTCGTGGACGACATACACCCAACAACCGCACACAGTATGCAGTAGGTTCCACGCCCTCTACCATGAGTTCGGGCAGCAGTGCTGTTCGTCAGGACACGTGTGGGCTTGTGCCGGCATGTATCGGCATGTGCTCTTTCATTCTCCTTCAAATTGAATGGATCCGACCCACGCTCCGTAATCAACCTCCAACCCTAATCCTCCACCCTCATGGTGCCGGCACAGCCCGCTTACTCGCAGGGCCCAGAGCCACTTCTCTTGTGGACAGACATGCTACTGAAAGAAAGGATGGGGCAGGTGAGTGTTCAAAGCAAACGGGCGAGGCAAGATCTTGATTTGTGCTCGAAGCAATCGTGCTGGGTCAATGAGGCGCCACCTGGAAGCAGGCAGGCAGCACGGGAGAGTGCGAGTGCTGCAAGGGTGTCCGCTTCCGTCTGGAGCTACTCCTGTGGAGCTTTGGTATGCTTGTTTGGATTCTCAAGGTCGAGATTGTCGGACTCAGCTGCTCGACTTGGCAGTGTTGCCATGGCCGCTGCGCGATGCCATGGGCCAGGACGAGTGACGCTGTTCGATCCATTTTTCACATCCACGTGGCCACAATCGCCAATAGAAGCAGCAGCCCGAGTGGCAGAACTGTTGGGGGCCGAAGCATGAAGTGTGCAAACGAAGCAGCAGCTTCTCAGCCAATACGAAGATCATCCAAAGCTCGCAAGTTCAGGAAGCAAGTCTTGCTAAGTTGCCGACGACTTTTGATAAAACATGCAGCATTGCAAGAAGTCAGCTAGAAATTGGACATAATTGCAAGCATTCCAGCGGTGCGATACGTGCCCGAACTCCGGTTCGTGTGCGGGCCCGTTTGTATGAATGCGCTTTGAACAGTCCTACCGCATGTTGCACAGCTATCAGACCTCGAAGGACTTGGTGCCAACATCCGATGTTCCGCTGCTGCAAGGCGTGTTTCATCTGGCGCTCACTGTGTGTTTTGATTTGTCATACCCACGGGGACAAGTGATTGAGTCGCATGCTTATATGGGGTCAGGCAAGCGGCAGAGAGCATCTCGGCAAGAATGTTCTGAGCGCATTGGGACGTGCGTCTGAGTTTGAGGTAGTTATCAATCGGCAGACGGCGTTGGATGCGGAAAGATGGTGGCCAGCTTTGTAGCTGTCCTGCCGTACTGCTTTGACCCCATGCGGTGCGGCTTTGAAATAATTTGGAAGAACTGTACAGAGCGAGAATGTTTTCGGTTCACTTGTCCAATCCACAGGTAGCCAGCGAGAGCAACACGTGATCTTCCTTGCCTGCTACCACGAGTCGTAGAGTAGCGATTTCTGTTCCTGTACGGGCAGCATGGTACTCGGCACCCGACACAATTGTTCAAGTGAGCGGAGCAGCTGCGACCAGCGTGCATGAGACTTGCAATCCAATTTTCGGGCGGCTCACCTTTCCGGTATCTCCGAGGAGTCTGGGCAAGGGTCAGCAAAAAGTGCTTGGAAGTGCTTGTGCCTTTCGGGGTTGTGCGTCGATCGCAGTCCTTCGAGTTGCGCGCTTTTCATCCTGTTGATTCAGAAGGTGAAGCGAATCTTCGAAATCGATGCTGCAGGAGCCTAGCCCAGTCATCGTGGCGTGATAGCTTGTTTCCGACTGACGAGTTATTATTGGTTTCGTTTGCAGAGCTCTTGGCGGCCTATGCGCGATACTTCCCTCAACGGATTCGGGATCTTCTGGTTTCGCGGTTTCCCTACAAAGCCCATAAGCCCAAAAACATGTGTTGCTCTTGGCCCAACAGCCTTAGACACTCCCTTTGCTTTTTGCTTTTTGGAGGGAGTGGAAGAAGAGAGGGACTCAGGCCCGGGAGAAGAAGAGGAAGAAGAGAGATAGAGAGGCCGGCAAAAACTGTTGTGTTTCTCTGGTTGTCGTCAGAACAGGCTCGGACCCTTTGTCATACCAAGCCGGGGGACACGAAACTGTGGCCCTTGGAAGACCCCGAACTCGACTGCGCGCATTGCGTGGAGGGGTGCGCTTACGAGTGTGCTCCGTCGAAGCCGCAAGCAAGCAAGCAAGGCCGGCAAAAAATTTGGCTCAAGGCTCAAGTCGTCCGGCGTGCCTTCCGGGGCGCTCGGGAGCGGCCTTCGGGGTTGGAGAGATTTTTCTTTCCGGCCCTTCCCTGAGCTGGGGCGGCTTGAGACCACTCGCCGTGAAGTTTGGCTTGCAAGGGCCCACCCAGGAGACGCGCAAAACCTTGCCTGACCCCTGCCCCTCTGCCACCCTCGCTGTTGTGGTGACCCTCAGCTTCACCTTTGGCGGGGGGGTGGAGGGTGCCCCGGTAATAGGGAAAGGCAACATGCCACGAACAAGAGGAACTCAAAGTGATCCTGCTGAACCAGGTGGACGTCGGAGACCGCTACCCGCTGTTGCACGTAGAGAAGAAGTTGACGCTCGACCACTTCTCCTTCGAAGGCGAAGCAAGTGGACAATGAACCAGGAAGCTGGGCAGAGAACACCGACAATGATGATATCGTTGCAGTAGCAGGGACGGCAAGAATGAGATCCATGAGCTACGAGAAGGACACCAAGTCTGCAAGGGGGCGAAACAGGCAGCAAAGAACCCCTACTACACTACGGAAGAGAAAGCAGGAACCCTTCATTGTAGATGGAACCAGATGCTGCCCACGGTGTCTCCTTCAGCCAGGGCGTGGAGAAGGAGGCGGGCACTAGAAGCGCCAACTAGAGGCAGCCGCGGCAAAAAGGGCAGCAGCAGAGAAGCAGACCAGGCCTGGGGGCTGGGAAAGAACCAAAGGGATACCAACGAAGAAGACAACACAGACCCGCAAGCCACTACAGACAGTGTCGAAGTCGAAAGCGGCACCCCCAAAGACTACCACCGCAACGAACAAGAAGCGTAAGCCACCTTCTTCGTCTTCCTCATCCAGTACCAGCTCTACGACCAAGCTAGAAGAAGCAGCACAGCACAGGGGCACCAAAGAGAAAGTGGCACCACCACGACCACACTTCGAAAGCTAGCCAGGTACACTGGACACCAGGAATCTGACGATGTCTTCTGGGACATCATCGACTGGAAAGAAGGGACCCAACACCAGAGGGAACAGCCAAGTCGAGGACCAAGTGACCAGGGACCAGGAGCCACGCCGGAGCGAACAAAGGACCAGCCAAGTCGAGGACCCGGCGAGTTCGTTTAGAGGAGGAGGAGACCCACAGCGGGACAGAGCTATCCGTGAGCAGGCGATGGCACTGCGCAGAAGCCTCCAAACGCGCGGAGACCTCATTCCCGGAAGCAGCGGGGGAGGACCCGCAACATGGGTACCAGGACACGTGCGACCTGCAGAACAAAAGGAACCTCCGAGAAGGAGACCCGCCGACCCTGGTACAAAGCTGGCGCAGCAGGTCATGAAGCAGCAATCTACATGGACCGGCAGTCAACAAAACGGCGTGAGAAGTGAGACCAACCTCGTGGCGGAGCACCAGTGGCTACAAGTTTTGGTTTGCACTATCCGCACCTTCTGTGCAACCACCTGGGAAACCCGGGAGCCGAGAGCCATCCTACTGCCGCAGACTCAAAAAGTGACGTCCTTTCAGCTTTGATAGAGACTTATCTGTAATTTGCCCCGAGGGGCACTCGTTCCAATCCTTGAACCTCAGAATGGTGTGCCCGCAGCAGGCATAAGACTTGAGAGGCCGTAAATTTAAGCATGATTTTCCCCTCTGACACTTTTCTTGATCCGAGCTGCACTAAGTTCGGGCACCCATGTCTGTTCTTGACCTACTTCTTCCTCTCCATGTTTGCTGCTTGTGAGACCAACCACCCTCCATTCAATTGTCCAGACATTCGATCCGCTGTACAGCCGAGCCGATGGTGGATGGGGATGTGCCCTGGAGCGCGGGGCACCGGGTCTGCCGGTGCTTCTTGCCATTCTTACCCCTAGCGAAGCAAGCAAAGCAAAAGCAAAGGCCGACAAAACCCGTCTTGGTAATTATACTCCAACTTTCGTCTGTTTTTGAACCCGTTGGCCGGGGCCCCGGCGTGTAGAGCAATGCTCTGGTGCAACCCCAGGGAAACCTTATATTGTCATCATCGTGTTGCACAATCATATGGACTGTGTACTGTGGTAGTCATGCTGCTTCTGCAGCGGGGGAGGTCACCAAAGTGTAGCAGCTAAGTGTATTGTACATGAGTATGACGCGGGGGAAGTTTAGCTTTATGAGTCTTGGCATTTTGTACTGCGTGGGCGTTATGGGGGACCCAAACGGGACATGCCGTCAATTCGTGCAGGTGTCCTACCTTTACGGGAAGCATACTGAGTTTGCAGTTCTAATATACGTTTCGGTTCCAAAGCATGTGACCCGTAAACTGCTTTCACGATCCCTTCAAAGCGCCTAATTGACCGGGGATTTTGCCGACCCGCCAGTATGCGGTTCCCGCGCGGCACAGGGAGAACCGGGCCCGCTTGTTCGGCCCTGCCACGCTGATGCCGAGACCCAGGCCAAGACGCACCTGCTTCGCCAACTGGGGCAGCAAACAGACTCACCCCTCCGCAAAGACAACGCCCTCACCAACTATTCTAGGAGCGGGATGAACAGGGGAGGCCCCTCCACAACCTGGACGACTACCCGACAGACGCAGCCAAGTGGCCAGAACAGCCTTCAAGGACGGGTACAGGGAACTGCGAAGGGAGAAACGCAGGTGCAACGAGTGGAAACCGACACAGCCCGCTGGACGAGGAAGAGCAGTACGACGTGAATTCCTGGAAGGAGTGAGACTGAACTGTTTTTTTCCAAGCTTTTCAGGGGGAAACCCCAACACAGCTTGCAAGAGAAGTCATCCGAACGGGGAACCTCCCCGCACGAGGCCTGGACCTGGAATGGAAACACTTGTCTCTTCCGGTGTTACGAGGCTAACTGGAAAGCCTACCGCCAAGCAGTGAAAGCTGGCTACAGGGAACACAGAAAAGAACGAAGAGCACACGGAGCCTGGACCAAAGACAAGGAAAGGTGGCATAGAGGGAGGCGTCAGCAACACAGAGATCGCCGATGACGTGGAGCACCAACTCTGAGGCCAGTGTAGAGCCCTTTTCGTTTCATAGGGGAAATACCCCATTTTGGCTGGGTGGACGCGTGAAGCGGGGGAGAGCCCTGAAAAGTCTGCCGTCTTATGCCGCTCTGCTATCCTCTTAGCTTCTGCCCGTTTCCCTAGTCTGTTTCGAGTACCGGCATGCATGTGTTTCGCCTTGACCCGAAGCCATAACACAGGACTTCTCAACTTTCTCTTTGCAGTAGGGGGCAACCCCTAGTCACTAGTCACCAAGTGTTTCAATACTTTTAAGACGGGCTGCAGGAGCCATTCCATCCCTAACGCCGTGCCCCCTACCTGGGGCGTATACTCTCCGGACCTCAACAGTTTTGACGAATCAGGCCCGTAACTCGCCCGCGGGGCGCCCCGCCTTCCCCCTTTTCCCTTTCTGTTCAGGTTCTGACTTCGGTAGGTTCGCTGCGGATTGCGTTGAGGTTGTGCTGATTCGGGGTTATTTTGGAGCCCTCTTCGCTTGTGATGTTACCACGCTTGGGTCCTTCACTCTGCAGTTTTACATTTGATCGGGGAGTTTGCCCGCCTAACCCGTCTCTTGTACATGTCCTTTTCCGGTTGTTTATACCTTCTGTCGTCATGCCCCAGCACAACTCCTCGCCAAACGAGCCTCATCTTCCTTAGTTGTTTCACCACGACAAAGGAGGACACTGCGCGCTCGCGTGCGAACTGCCCGTTCCTTCGTCTGTCTGGAAGAAGAGAGAATGGCGCGCGGGGGGGCTTGCACTCGCTGCCCTTTTGGGCTGTGTTGAAGAGAAAAGAATGGCCAAGGGATTGAACCATGCCCCACGGAAGAAGAGAGAGTCAGAGAGGGGAGAGGAAGAGGGAGTGGGAGAGGGAGAGAGAGAGAGCTTGCGAAACAAAGAAACGGAGAAGACGAAAGATAGAGAGCGAGAGAGCGAGCATTGTCATAGGGTCCATGGGGTCAGTCACCAGGCGAAACCAGTGCATTGCAAGAGAGAGATGGAGTGTTTTGCTTAGCAGTTCGGGAAGTCTGCGCTGAGACAGGGGAATACAGTCAGACCTACAGGAAGAATTTTAAATGAATTGACTTTCGTCAAGG